CGGGGGCCGCTGCCCTGGAAGAGCCCGCGGCCGCCGGCTCCAAGGAGAAGGACGAGGCACTGGAGGAGAAGCTGAGGAACTTAACTTTCCGGAAGCAGGTCTCTTACAGGTAGGCGCGGGAGCCCGGCCGCCGGGAGACAGGTGCCACCCCGGCGCGAGGCCACTCGCCCTCGGCGCGGCGCCTCCACGGAGTTGGCAGCTGGTCTCTGTCTGTTTCTGTCTCTGTCTCTCTCTATCTGTCTCTCTGGCCCCATCACTGCCCCCCTGGGGCTGTGTTTTCTGCTCTTCGAATCATTCTGGATTGGAAGGGAGCTTCCTTTGCGCCTAGTGTCCCCCCGTAACTGGAGGGAAGACGGGGTTCCTGAGGTAGGCACTGTAATAATATGTGTGTGTGTGGGTGTGAGAGGGGAGTGCAGACACAGAAATGCCTGGTTTTCTTGAGAGAAGTACTCAGACTTGTCCCTAAGTCTGTGTCATCTTCAGCCACCTCCCCCACCTTCCAGATTTTCCTGGATGAATCTTTGGTACTCACTTGATAGTTGAGAACGCCGGGCTGGCAGAGAAGAGCAGCCCTGTACTGAAGAGCCATGCCTATGGAAGTTGAATCTGCGTGGAAATGCCTCCCTAAGGAGGAGTGATGTGCGTCTGTCCCTGTGTAGATGCAGTTGCTTATAGCTACAAAGCCAGCGTTTGTAAAGGGGTTAAATATCCACGTGTTCTCTCCCCCTTCTGGGTGTGTCTAGGAGGATGCCATGGTTGCCTCCTGGCAAGGGAAGGTTGAGGGCCAGAATGCCCCTATGTTTGCCTCTGAAGGTGGATAGATTTATGAGACCAGGACCGTGTGGAATGAATGGGCACTAAGATGATACAATTGTGTCAAGTTCCTGAAGCGGGAAATAAAGAATATAGAGACTGAGAGGTTTGGAGAGTGTTGGAGACCACCCTTATGGCTGATTGTTGTTTTCTGTGGAACAGGCACTGTCTTAAAAGTTGAGGGGATAAACGAGCTTAGAAATAGACACTTGCCCTTGCTCGGGCTTGGAGTATTTCTTGAAAAGGTGTCAGTAAAAGCATTCCTGCGACCCTCCTCTTCTGAGTTGGCAGTCCTTTCTAGAAACCCATATAAAATATTAAGCCTGTCACACCATGTGCTGTTATGTAAGCAAAAGCACATGACAGAGGTGTGTGGGTTTTTTTTGGGGGGGGGGTGTTGTATTTATGGGGTAGACATGTGAATCATTGGGATCCCCATAGCACTGCTGACCGCAAGCCTCAGTCACCAGGTGTGTGCTCCGCGTCCAGGTTCTGGCCTCTCATGCCTCAGGATGGTCTTCCTGTGGGTGCCAGCTCCTGCGTGCTGGCGTGCATTTTGCTCACTGTGCACTGAGGGACTTTCCCACCTGACTTTGGTTACTCACATAGAACAGGACCAAGATCAAATTTCTCTTTATATTTTTGGTTTCTAAAAATAGGCAGGTGGTGGAGAGCGGGGTAGCTCTAGGGAGGTATGCTGGGATACAGGCAGTTCTACTTCCCAGCTACCATGCCTGTGTGGCCCTTAGGGGAACAGGGACGACATTCAGCCTAATTTGGGAAGTGGAGCCGGAGGGGTGATTACGTGAAGCGCATTGTGAGTTCCGGCTCCTGTGCCATTGGTGTTGGTCAGACACCTCACGGGGTGGGGAGGGCTGCGAACGCAGAGTTTGCAAGGGAAATAATTTCAGCTTGCCTCTTGGCAGGCCAGGTCATTCTCTGAGCCTCTTCTGGAAGTGGTACTGTGTGGGCCAGGACTTCCTGGATTCATGCTTTTTCCCCCATGCCTGTCGGGGTGCACACACACAGATGAAGTCCTGGAGCCATAGATAGCACTTATCTGGAGAGGAATCATAATGCTGCAACTGCCCTACACCCACAGAATGGGCCCTGCTCTGTAACATCACTTCCTTTGAAAATAAAGTTTTACAGCTTGCAGTTTAGCCAACCACCTGCATCAGTGACAGTTCAGGTGGCTGGTTAAAAATGTCCAGCACCCCGGGCGTACAGAATCAGACTCTACATGGTGGGGATGCCTATCAGGGGCCTCAGGGCACATACTTAGACACACTGCTACTTGAGGGTTGTTATCCTGTTTTTTCCACAAAGGCTAAACAGTTGATCATTGAACTCATAAACCATGCTCACCCACTCAAGACCAGGTAGTCCCACAGCTGAGGAAAAGTGGGCGACTCCATTTGGCACATGTTATCCTTGGTAATCAGGAAAGTGTCTCCATTTTGCTTATTACTATCTGTTAGGGTCATGCTGGATGGCTGTGGCAGCCAGTCAGAGGTTGCTGGGCCTGACCATTTCACTGGCGGGTTCTTGAATGGTCTTATGAAATGAGCAGCTTTGACTGGAGTTGGGCTGTGTTTCCACACTGAGGTCTACTTTGGAGGGAGGGGTGCTAGAGCATGGTGACTGGCAGGGATTCGAGGCGAAGGGTCAGGGAGACCTCACAGTGTGGAATCTGGTGGAAGGGCTCCCTGGGAGTGGGAATGGGGGCTGCCTGTGCACGGGGGTCAGTTGAGGTGGGAAGAGGAGACTTGTAGGTAGGTCAAAAATATCTTTGAACAACATGGATATTTGTGGAATGACACTTGACAGGAGAGAAGAAGGGGGCTTTGGGAGAGGGTGTGTGTGGTGTGTAGGGGGGTCTCATCTGCTCCTTCTGTTGCTAAGGAACATATAAGCTAGGGTTTAAAAATAAATGAGGAGTGGGTGGGCATAGGCAGTGACTCCTGTCTTTTTAGGAACCAGAGCCCTTTACAAAAAGCCTTTAAATAACCATTTCTGGAGGCAGATTATTCATTTTGCTTGACTTTTACTTTGTTAAGTAAAATAAACTCCTTTCTATACCCCTCGATTTCCCCTCATTATCTTTTCTTTCTTGGTTTTTTTTGGGAACCATTTTTCCCATGAGAATTTTTCCTTTATTTTAGATTCTGCTCCCCTAGAGCAAATAATCTCTGTAGACTGGAACGCTGAAGGTTTCAGAAGGCAGTGCAAGTGAGCTGGTACTTTTCTCTTAAAATTACTACTTCCTTTTTCTTTGCAAATTATGGTGCTGCAACAGATACATATGTGCCAATGACTATGCAATGTGTAGGAACTTTTTTTTCCCTCAGTGCTACAAGAATTCTCATTTAAGTCAGTAAAAAAATGGCCTTTTAGAAATACACTAGGGAGAGGAAGGAGATGGTAGTTGATTGTTGTTTTCTGTGTACCAGGTACTGTGCTGAGTATGATGGTATATTGTGATTTATACTTCATGACAGTCCTATGATATGATTATGGTTATTTCTGTTTTATAGACAGTGAACCTGAACCCTAAATTTGGGTGGGAGACAGAATTTTACCCAGGTCCCGTCCAGCAGGTTTTTCTTTAGATCCCATGGTGCTTTCCTGACTTTCAGGTGGCGCTCTCTCCAGGGTGCGTGTGCGCATGTCTGAGCTGTTTCCTGACTGCTTCTGTACCATGCTATGCTTGTCATATACCATCTCTTGTAATCTCTATTCTTTGGACCCTGTGCCTTTGACTATATCATTTTAACTCCTCTATCATAATAGCAGAGAACTTCTTTACTATTTCGGACATAGAAATGAGAATACATTTATAATCATCAGAGAGTATATTGGTTTTGCTTCTGAGAACGAACCACCTACATGACACCTGCCATCTCTATGAAGACACCCGTGTTAGGGTTTCATGCCTTTCAGTGCAAACGGCACAGCCGTTGTGTAGGTGAATCTAGATCCAGTGAAGAGCTGGCTTATCTGTGCCACCTGGAGTCACACAGCATAAACGATGGCTTGTGATTCTGCTTGCCAGAGGCCCGGCCCATTACTATGTCCATGAGGCCATGAAGCCCATGGTTCAGGTTCTCCCTTTGCAAACCAAAGTTTCCGCAAAGGGACATTAGGTGTGAGACAGAAGTTGCAGCACGGAGTATGAAACTTCTTAGGTCAAGCAACTACCTAAAAAAGACCTACTATTCTTTACAGGTGACGATAAGAATGTAGCATTTCCATTTTGTGTTTTGCCCTCACAGCAGGGTTGTAAGGAAGATGACTGGCATGTTGAGGTCAGTAGGATGGATGGCCTGGCCTGGGCATTGTTCTTCCTTCCTTGGCAGTCAGTGGTGTATGGGGCAGCCTCTTCTTCCACAACATATGTGTGTCTGTAGGTGTACATAGGTAACACCCTCCTCTGTGAGGTGCTTTTTGTCATAGTATGTTTTTGTCTGCTTTCCACATTTGTTAGGTATGCAGAGATGTTTTGGTCTGAGGGAAGGCTTTGCTTTAACATCAAGTCTCCTTCTTCCTGGTTATCGGCTACTGGCTGTGTAGAGGCCAGCGGTCAGGCAGACACTGGGCAAGACTCGCTGGCAGTCCAGGGGCCTGGGTCTGCTCTCACTGACCTCACAGACGGTCACTATCCAGGGTGAGTGGTTGCTCCACGGGTCGCGTGGCATAGGGCAGGGAAAGGTGGAAGGCAGCTTCTTCGCTGATGTTCAGTTTTGCTGTGGGAACAGCAGCTTCACATTGTAGAGCCAAATCAGATCAGACTGGAGCTAGCTCTTTGGAACACTTAACCTTCTACTCTGTGAAAGTGAAATGCTTCCAGCAGCTCTACGCCTAGGTTTCTATCTGAAGAAAATGAAAACACTACCTTGACGGGTAGATGCATCCCCGTGTGCACTGCAGCTCTGTTTACAGTCGCCAGGCCAGGGAGCCGCCCCAGGGCCTGAGGCCAGAGAACGGCTGAGGAGGTGTGGCCAGCACATACAGTGCACTCCTCAGTTATCAGGAAGGATGAACTCAAGCCATTTGTGACAACATGGGTGGGCCTGGTGGGGCTGATTCTGAGTGAAATAAGTCAGAAGGAGAAAGACAATTAATTAATGGATGTTGTCACTCCACTGTGGAATAGAAAAACAAGGCCAAGAAACAAACTGAATCAAAACAAACCCTAGAAATCTGACTGCAGAACTGAGGCTCCCAGAGAGGGACCCCGTGGTCAGTGGTGGAGAGTTACGGTGGCGGATGTTGTGATAACACCTGTCTAGACAGTTTTGAACTGATACCCCCAAATCATATAGTGCTTTAAGCCGATATTACCTCAGTAAAAAACAGCACACATACACAAGAGGACCTCTCTGGTGGGACAGAGCTGAAGTATTAGCACTATGCAGTTATTCCAGCCAAAGTGGCACGAGTTGGATCCCGGCCAGGAGCTGACCCACATGGCGCAGCAGACCCCTCTTGTCTCTCCTCTGCTCCCCTCAGCAGGGGGTTTCAGTGGATCTGCCTGCTCTGCCCCGGACTCTTCTCACCCCTTGCACCTCTGGCCTGTTCCTCAGCTCTTGTATGATAAGTAAATAAATCTTAAAAAAAGAAATGTAAGAAAGAAAAGTTTGAGCAAGGGGGAAGTGGTGTGTGGAGGTGAGGGGGTAAGAAAAAGCCTCATCTCAAAGTCTGGCACAGTGAGTGCCCCTCATGTGCTGATGGAACCAAGTCACACCCCGCGATAATCAGGTTCCGGCCCTTCGCACACGCAGATGGGATCTTTCATGGCAAGGGGACTTTGAGGTGTGCTATGGG